CCCACCTCCCCCGGCTCCTCCTCACCTGGGCGCGCCCCCCTCCTCTCCCTCCCCGCGGCCCGACCCCGGCTCCTCACCCTGGGCATTGAGCGCGGCTGTGTCCGTCGGAGCGGGCCCGGCGCCTCCCACACACCGGGCAGGGAGGGGGCGCGGCGACGGCGGCAGCCGCTCTGCCGGCGGAGGGGGAATGACGAACGAGCCCGGCCGGTTGGAGCCGCAGAGACCGTGAGTGAGCCCGCCTCGTCCGCCGGCTCCCCCGCGGGAAACGGCTCCTCCTCGCACACACAACCCCCCCCGCGCCGCGCCGCGCGATGGCATGGCCCGCGCACACTCCCCCGTCAGCATTGGTATGGTCCACCCCCCCAAAGCCGCCATTGGTATGGCCCGCCCTCCCCCCAGTTCCGGCATTGGAATGACCTAGTCAGTCACTTCCCATCAGCGTTGGTACAGGCCTTTCCCCCCCAAAAAAACGGCAGGATGTGGCCGCTCTTACCCCCTGATTACCATTGGTACGGCTCACGTCCCCCAAACTGGTAATGGTATGGTTGCCCTAGTATTGGTATAGTCCCTCCCAAATATAGCATTGGCATAACCCATCCCACATTGGAATAACCAGTTCCCGGCCAATTACCGTCTCTCACCCCCCCAAGTCAGCACTGGTTTGGTCCAGGCCCCCCACCAGAAATAAAATCAGTATTGGAATGGCCCATTTTCCCCAAAACATCATTGGCCTGGCCTAGGTGCCCTTCCCCCCTATCAATAGTGTCAGGATGGCCCCTTCCACTTCACAATCACAATTGGAATGCCCCATTCCACCACAACAATAGTGGTGGTATGGCCCACATCCACATGCTTCTCTGGTATAGATACCCCCCCCCCCATCTTGGTTTGTCCTACTCTGCTCCTCACATTGCCCCTCCCCCCACCACTTCCACTTTCTTTCCCTTTGCTTGTAAGGACCAGCTGGACCTGCACCTGCCCTCTGCTGGAAGGGGCTGGAACTGCTCAGCTGGGTATCAAAAGCCCTATACTGCTAATGGTGATTCCCCTCTAGACTCCAGGGCTAGGCTCCTGTGCTTTGGAAACAGGAGGGACCAAGTTCTATACCTGCTTGCTGTGACATTTGTAGTGACAGCCAGGAAGTTCCTAGCTGGCCATGGATTTGTTGCAATAATGATAAACAGACATTGAGAGCGGGGGCAGTGAACAAAAAGCCCTGGGTGTTGCATAGATGTTATTTCCCATGGAAAGCAAGCGGTAAATGCTGGTTGCATCACACATTTCCAGGGGGCATCTTTTAATCTTGATTCTGCAGCCCTCAGCCACACACAGTGAGATTTCTCTTGTGCAAGTAATAATATTACTCTGCACTTGCATAGCATTTTGTACCCATAGATCTCAAAGCTTTTCACAAAGGTGGGTAAATATGAACCCCGTTGTATAGAAGATGGAAGTGCCCTTGGGACAGATACTTTGTCTTTCTATTCCCCTGTAAAGTGCCATACATACCTGTGGCACTATGTAAAATAATAAAAGATGCAGGATGGATGTAGCCAAGGTTGAAGGTTGCCACTGTCCACGGATACAGTTGTTAAGACATTCCCTGCAGGTGATGTTATCAGTATAAAAGGTGGGTCACTTGGGAAGAATTGCTCCACCTCAGATGCCACAAACCCTGAAATCTTTACCATCGAATGCAGGTAACTCGCCAGATGAGAACTGCTGCATTCCTACCCATGAGAACAAACTAACAGGCAGAAAATGGGGCTTCTCAGGTGAAGTGTAAACACAGAGAATGACATGATTAAGCCTCGCCCATGCCAAGGAAGATACCGAGCAGGGTGAAGAGAATGTCATGACTCAGCAGCCACTGTTGAAACTCTGCCATTGGCACTGGCCACAGATGAGAGGGGAATGATTTCAGGTTCAGGTGCCAGAAGTAGGTCACCCTAACCCTCTGTCTATAATACCGTGTGCAGGGGTGACAGAGAGCTGGGAGTCAGCCCAAGGACTCTGTTCTGTTGGGAGAGGACAAGAAGCAAGACAAGAACGGGGCGTACAGGGAGCTAGTGTTTGACTAGAAGTGATTCTCAAACTTTTGTACTGGTGACCCCTTTCACATAGCAAGCCTCTGAGTGTGACCCCCCCTTATAAATTTAAAACACTTTTTTATATATCTACTACCATTTATATATGCTGGAGGCAAGCGGGATTTGTGGTGGAGGCTGACAGTTCACAACCCCCCATGTAATAACCTTGCGACCCCCTGAAGGGTCCCGACCCCCAGTTTGAGAACCCCTGGACTAGAGCAATATGCAAGGAAGCAAGCCCTTTTGGAGGGGTTATTTTCAGGAAAGATAAAGCTCTTGTAACAAGCTGTATGGTTATTTAGAGAGGAGAAAGGGCCTTTGTAGGAGGAGAGGGACTATCCTTCCCTGGGAAAAGCACTGAGTGAGGCCGGGAAATCCTCACCCTCGGCAACCTGAGTACAGTAGAGAGATTTCTGGCTCTCTAGCTCCCTTCTCCTCTATAATGAAATCACATTCATCACACACTAACTCATCCCACTGTGTGCCACCCCGTTTCTCCTTCATAGCTCAGAGACAGTTATGCCTCTCCATCAAGGTGGCATTTCATGGGTAGCCCTAGGGATGTATTTGGGCTATTATGAACAACAGGCAAAGGGCAAGCATTTTAGTACGTAAGTTTAGTGGTGCTGGAGTAAGGCATCAGGATGACTGTCCCGGGGAACAAAGTCCCCTGTTTATTATCTATACAACAGGAATAGCACGGGTAGCAGCAAGACAATTTAAGTGATTCCGCAGTTTTCTAATAACTCACTTACTTTCACTGTTGACTGTAGAGAGTTCAGGACCTCTGGCTCTGAAAACACAGGGTCCAAGTTCCTGGCCAAATTCCAATTTAAGTAATTACATTCTGCCTCTCTAAATCCTCCTTGCAGTTCCAATTGAAGATGCTGCTCTTCCTCACTTCCTGTCCTAAACTATTGGGTGATGTTACTGTGCAATTTTACCCAGCAGCCACATTTAAGAGTCATGCTTTGGCATATCATGAAAAGCAGCAGAGATCATGCACTTTCTTACAATACAAGTTGTGTATTTCATTCCATTCTGCTCAGTGCTTAGGGATCTTGGCAGATCTTACTAGATAACAGGAAGTTATGTTCTTGATGGATGGTTTACATACTAAGTCAATTCTTAAAGGTCTAGTGCCAATACCTTAAAGACTGTTTAGAACACTACATCCTTCAGTATTGATTCAAGCTATCTCATTCCTGGCCCATCTCACAGCAGGTGTCCTACATAATGTTCTCTAAGATCCCATGTGCATTTCAGAGGAGATTCCATAGGGCAGGCGGGCTAGGCATTCCCTACCCTGTTTTGAATCAAATATATATTGATCTTTACCCCCTGCTCTAAATTATTTCTAAGAGGCATCTGTACCTGTCAGAGTTGCATCTGACATGTAGGTCAAGTCAGGAAGAGACTGTAGTGTTCCGTATCTTGTGATAAAAACATGAAACCACATGTTGGCCAACACAAAACAACTGCAAGACAGAAACCAAAGATAATATCGTGGTCACTGCTCTGAGGAACTTGTGCCAGGAAGAAGGAAAAACAAATGACCATAAACCCTGGAGAAAAGCATAGTTGTGTTGTTCACCGAGCAGAGAAGTTTGATTTGTGATAGAAGTCAGCAGCTACCCTGTTTCCCCGAAAATAAGACATCCTCCGAAAATAAGGCCTACTTACAGTTTTGCCTCTCGTTGTAATATAAGGCATCCCCCCGATAATAAGACCTCCCCGATAATAAGGCATCCACCGATAATAAGGCATTTTTCATTTCTGAAAAATAAGACATCCCCTGAAAATAAGACCTAGCGCATCTTTGGGAGCAAAAATTAATATAAGACACTGTCTTATTTTCGGGGAAACAGGGTAGTTATTAGGGGAGGTGGAGAGCACTGGAAAGAGCAGGATACAAAGAGGGCAAATAGACTTGTCATGCGCTTCTTTTGGTTCATGAAAAGAACTGCAGAGATACATTAGAGGGGATACATGATTTTGGGTGGCACAAGGGGTCCTAACACTGGCCCTCATGTATCCCAGAGCTGTGGCGTTTGCCATGGAAATCCACCTCTTATGCACAATTGTGCTCCTGAATCCATCTTCATTTTTCAAAAATGTGTCTAGTCCTTATGGTGGCAAAGGAAACCTTGAAGACGTGACAAATGTAACCAAGCATGAGTCTATAGGCAGCCTGAAATAATAACTCTGAGAAAGCCGAACAGTCTCACTGCTTCCCTTGGCGTTTACCAAAGCACTGATCCAGAGAGACAGCTTGGATGGCTGGAGTAAGGGGGTAAGATCGGGGGAGTGAGGCCTGATCCAAAGCCCACTGACGTCAATGACTCCAGCTGACGACACTGGGCTTTGGATAAGGCCCCAGATCCTGATCTCCGTTATTCGAGTGTCTCTCGTTGGACTTCCCCAGGGGGTTAATCCAGTGAGATGAGTGGCGCCAGACCTGGGGCGTTTACATACCTTACGGCCATTATTTAATATGATGTCAGTTCCCAATGTCAGACAAATACCCAACAGAAACAACGGATTATGTATTCTGGGAATGGAAATAGTTCTCAAGCTTCATCCTGACAAGCTGAGAGCAGGGAGGTAGAAGGGAATTGGGAGAAGGCCTGGGAGCATGGGTAGAGGTGAGCAACAGGCACACAAAAGGGAGAACAGATAGAGTAGACTGATTCATCTGGCCGGGCTCCAGGTAGCTCCAGGGAAGGTGAAGTGAAAGGTATGAATGACCCATTGATCTGCTTCCTTGTAGAAGGGGTGGAACACCGGATACAGCTGACTCAGAGCCTGGGCTCCGTAAGACCTTGCCCCTTCTATGACTCCACTTCTGGCTGGACTTCATCTAGAACAAGGAAGAGAAAGATGAGAGTTTCAGTCCTGGCCCCGTGGCTGTAACTGACCAACACCCCCCCCCACCCACACACACACACACACTCACACTCCTGTAAAACAGTGCTGCCTTATAGCATGCCACATGCTTTCCTTTTCTGGTGTCATGTGGGATTATTGTCCTGGGCACAACATCAAGCAGGCATACTGTCTGGGTGTGACATTTATATAATGGGAGGGTGTTGCAGGGCTGCAATCGTGTTCGTAAAGCGCTCCAGAGGGCAAGCAGGTGGTCTATGCACCACTTAAGACCCATGTATGTCCTAATTTGGGGGATTCAGTGGTGTATAGACCTTGTGCCGAGCCCCTGCACAGGGGTATATTTCACTCTATGAAGGCCTTGGACGGAAGGCACTGTAGACACGGAACGTTCTGAAGAGGGCTTATGCGCCGTATGAGCTGGTATTTTGATGTGCTTGGTTCGATTCTGAAAATTGGATTATTTTTCCTTTCCAAAGTTCCTGTTGCCTCATCTTTGCCTATTAGGTTATGTTTACACTGCAATTAGGCACCACAGCTGTCCCGTGCCAGGTGACTCGGGCTCGGGTTAAGGGGATTTTTAATTGTGGCGTACATGTTCAGGCTTGGGCTGCACCTCCCATCTTGCAGGGTCCTAGAGCCCGGGCTCCAGCCCAAGCCCGAACGTCTTCACCACAATTAAACAGTCCCTTAGCCCGAGGATCCCAAGTCAGCCGGCACAGGCAGGCACCAATTTTGAATTGCAGTGTAGACATACCCATTGTGTGCAGAGTGCACGCCATGTGTTGGTCTATTTCAAATACCCCACACTCACCACGAGAGGGCAGCAGAGCACAGCATTCAATAGATAAGGTGGGGTCTCTGAGACCAAAGGGGCTACAGACATAGAAGCTGATATTAACCTGTAATACTAATGAACGATGATGATCTCTTTGATTTGAGCCCGTGCACCAAAACTTCCTTTTTTTAGCATAAGAGATTAAGAGAGGGTTGCAAAGGACAGAAAGACTCAGGACTCCCCTTCCAGGCCCCCTCTCAAGAGGAGCCCCCTAGAACCGCCACTGCTGCTTAGCTAAACCGGGCAGCTGCAGGAGGAATGACACGGACAAACGCTGGAACAAGAGTTCCTCTATTCTCCAATCCAGCACGAAAACCCTCCCCGTCCCAAGCTGCCGATGGGCCTCTCTGTGGCACACGTCCATGTGCGAAGTACGCAATACCTAGTGCTTAAAAGCCTTCAAGGCTTCCTTCTCTCTGAAGCCAAACGTAGGCAGCCTTGTAGAGAGCTGTCATCCCAATTTCAGAGGATAACTGTGATAGCATAGAAGCCAGCACATCCACCCAGGCAGTCCTCTGCTTCCTTATTACACCCCTGTAGAACGGGGCAGAGGGCAGGAAGTGCAGGAAGGACCACACACTCGGCACTGGAATCGATCGACTTCCCAATTCCATCCAGAGGAAAAGAATATCCACCCTGTAGCTTTGCCTCGGGGATGGACCGATGCTGCAGCCAGTTAAACAACCAACAAACAACTATTAATTTGTATTTCAGTAAACACAGAGGCCCCAACTAAGATTGGGACCCTATTGTGCTAGGCGCTGTACATAAGAGAGCATCTCATCCCCAAAGAGCAAACTCAAAAGACAAGACAAAGGGTGAGAGATGGGAAGTATTATCCCCATTTTACAGATGGAGAACTGAGGCGATTAAGTGACTTGCCCAGAGTGTGTGGCAGAGTCAGGAACTGAAGCCAGATCTCCTGAGTCCCAGCACAGAGCCTTAACCAGACAACCTTCCCTCCCCTAAAAATGACAGCAAACTTTAAACTAGCTACATGCATCTTTTCTCTGAAGTCCTTGAATTCATGGGTCAAATGCAAATGGCGAATGGCAACTATTGTGTGCTATCCACACGGCAGGTCTCAGCATTGTCCTAGCACAACGGCATCAGCTGTGATTTTATTGCCAAGCCATGTATGAAACTACAACTCTACCTCGATATAACGCTGTCCTCGGGAGCCAAAAAATCTTACCGCGTTATCGGTGAAACCGCGTTATATCGAACTTGCTTTGATTCGCCGGAGTGCGCCACCTCCCCTCCCCCCGAGCGCTGCTTTACCGTGTTATATCTGAATTTGTGTTATATCGGGTCGCGTTATATCGAGGTCGAGGTGTATATTGATACTCCCCATCGACATTTACATTAGCCCTACCCTTCTACAGCATGTGTAGCAGGGATTGGGGTTACACATGGAGCGACATTCTTTTCTTCTCTGTGGCTACTCAAGAAGCACGTAGAACGCTGATTTAACAGAAGAGATGGAGTGTTAAGATCAAGTTGGAGTTTGGCAGCCATTAGTGGGCAGTTGGGCAGAAAAAAAGAAAAATAACAAAAAAATTAAGTGAGACCAACAGGATCCCAATGAAGAGAGAGAGAGAGGCAGGAAACAAGCAGGAAGGAAAGCTAATAGGAAACTAGGTAACATGTGAGATGTACAGGGTCAGGGATGTGATAGACATGCTCTTGGAGCCCCCGGCAGACACGCTGAACCAAAGGCATCCCTGGTGTCAGTGGATGCACACCAGCATGAGCTGTTCCCAAGTGAACTAAGTTGTACAGGAATTATCTGGGAAATATTCTGCTAGACGTGTGCTGAGACCTTTATATTTCATTTCTGAAGTCGCTCTGAGGCGCTGCGGTGATGGGCAGCAGGATCAGACCTGGAGAGATGTGCACTTATACATAAGAGTTTTGGCAAAACTGATCTCTCATTTGTGGTGCTTTGTAAGGAAAAGATCTAAGGATGGGGGGGGGAGGGAAATGCAGATTCTCAGCTGTGTTCAAGTCTACAAGTAGTGGGGAGGAGGGAACCGCCCAAAAGTTGGTTGTGGTTCCCTAATCTTAAACAGCCCAGCCCCAGTGCAAACTAAAGCTAGCACCTCAAGGCCTTTAGCCAGTAGAGGATTTAGGCATACGTGGAGCTCTGCTGTGCTATCTCCCTCCCTGACCTAGCCCTAGAAAACTCCTGATGCACTTATGCCAGGAGCAGGAACAGGTGAAGAATTCTCCCCTGGCTCTCTCTAGACATTGTAGTGAACAGGAGAATCTAGCCTGGAAAGGGAAACGTAGAGAGACAGAGAAATGAATCAGGGCCCTTGTTTTGAAGACGGCCCCACATAGGCAGACCGGCTCAGGCTGTCTGAGGGTATTTCTATGCTACAGCAGCACCACTATGGCTGTGCTGCTGTAGCACTGTAGTGTAAAACTTTGCTGATTGCTCCTCCCACACCCACTATATTGACAGAAGGGGTTTTTCCATCAGGGAGGGTAATCTAGCCCTCCGAGAGGCGGTAGCTAGGTCGACGGACGAATCCTTGTAGCAGAAGGGCTGATTCTGGACAGCAGAGCCAGTGTGCATGGGGAGAGCGTCTAATCTTGTGTGTTGCTATTGAAAGAGCTGGCGAAATGACTGGGGAAGTTGCGGCCCGTTCGCAGGGGCAGGGTTGGAATGTTTGGACCAGAAGGATCTGGGAAGGTGCCATGGCAGTTGGGACGGCACAGGAGCCATGTGGTCCGGGAAGGACGGGCAGGGAGAGAAGGTTAATAGGTTGCTGGGTGAAGCATGTGAGAACTGTGTCAGGGGTGTGGTACTGAGCTGGACAGACGGAAAGGGAGAGAAGAGAAGAGGGCAGAGAAAGAAGCCAGATGGTGAGACGCTCTGAAAAGATAGCAGGCTCTCATTGCACTGAGAGCTGGTAAGGTCCTTTCACTAGGACCAGGGACTCGGCATTCATAGCTCCCCCTTGGAGTTCCTTTCCTAGGGAGTGTGCTAATCAGCTCCTCTGAGAAGTCTCTCTCCCTTCTAGGGCCTCCTGAGTGAACCCTCATGTGACGGACACCCACTATCAGGCACAGCAGGATTTTCTAGAGTAGCCACAGCTTTTATGAACTGTTGGTCTATTCCACTCTTGCACTGTGTTCCTGAACTATGAACCAACCAATCCATTAATCACAGGACAATCACTGCTCACAATGGCTTGAAGGTCTGTAGCTTCCAGGAACGGGGTGCTGTCAACCAGTAAAGGAATGCTGCCTTCACTAGCAGAGATCCCTACAACCAGTGATCCTCAAAGTTTTCCTATTGAAAACTCCCTTGGTGCAACTGTGATGCTGGCAGACCAGGTGCCAGCTCATGCCAAGGCCCTGAGGCCTCAACTGAAAACTGACAAATGCATAGCTGGAAACCGTCTGTTTCACCTGCATGTTAGTATTGTTAAAATAGGTATCAGATTTATAGAAATGTGTTTGGTCTTTATTAAATGCTTATGAGTTGCTGTGTGCATTAATCTCACTCTATATTCTGTGGTATAAATTAGTAGTATTTAAGTGTTTGCTCTGAAACTGTAAACTCCCAGTCAGGAGAGAAGCATTACGACGTGTGAAATACGAGTTTTCCACAAGGGGTGTCATCTCCTGCCCAAGACAAGACACATATACACCAGATAAGCCACTGTGGAACCCCAGAGGACAAAAAACTTTGCTGATTGCTCCTCCCACACCCACGAAGAGATGTGCAGGTGAACTCATCCCATCAGCTTGAACTCTGGGAGGAAGAAGGAACTGTATCTAGCTATGCTCTTGGACTCTGAGGGGCAAAGATTTCTAAGCATAAGCAAGGGATCCCCAGCTGCTTAGCCTGGGTTAGCTATAAAGGACTTATAGAGGTTGCATATCACAGTAGCTTTGGAACCTAAGACTCATTTGTGTATGTTTACTTGCTTTAACCTTGTAAATAACTCTCTGATTTATTTTTCTTAGTTAATAAATCTTTAGTTGGTTTATTATAGGATTGGCTAGCATTGTCTTTGGTGAAGGTCTAAAAGAGCTGGAGTAAGTGACTGGTCCTTTGAGACTGGGAGTAACATGAATATTGTTGTGATATTTGGTGTAAGGGACCATCTATCACAAAGGCAAGCGTACGAGGGTGGTGAGATAGATTGGAGTACCCCAGGGGACTGTCTGTGACTCCATGTTAAGGCTACTGTAGTGCCTGTGGAGTTCACACTTGCTACTTAGTTGGTGAAATCTAAGTTTAGAACTCACAACCAATTTGAGGTGTGTGCCCTGCTTCTTCCCCTGAGGTTGGTACTGATGCTCCTGAGGCACTCCAGACTCAAGCTGTCAAACTCAGCAACGTTACTGGATTTCATGAGGATTTGCAGGGAGAGAGTTCTTTCCGCGTTAGCTCAGCCTTGGGCCTCCCGTCACCACCTCCTTATGTGTGGGATTTATAAACTCCCAACAGAGTCAGCTGCTTCCTGTAGTATCTCTTCTTCCTCCCTTGCATTCAAAATCAGCTCATCTCCAACAGCTCACTATGGTGCTCTGCAAAGCCTTTGTAGCTGGACCCTATTGGAACTGGATCAACCTCTAACATCCCCTCTTCCAAGAATCTTAGATCTGCTTCCAAAACTACATTACTCCACCACCTGGAATCTACGAGAACACAAGGCACTGTAGTGCCTTCTGGCAAGAGTGCCAAGGGGTCATGTTTGTATCTACCATAGTGTCCCTAGAAGGCAACATCCGGCTCAATACGTGTTGCAAGTGCTTAGGCAGGACAGCACGAGTTCAGGACTAGACCACCAACCCTCCAGCTGTGGTTTTCTTTTCTTTGGTTGGTTTGCTGTAAATGTCATCGCCTGTGTGTGTGTTGTTTAGCCTTCCCACTCCTGTCCCATCCTACACTCTGCCCGCTGTGTCTCCAGAACACCTCCCACACCCACAACCCCAAAATCCACAGAACACCCCCCATACCCGCAATCCCTGTGCCCCTACAACACCCCC